CTGCGAATAATATTTAACTTGATGAGAGGTCATTAACCGCCCAGTATATTCATTTTCAATACTTCGATTAATTAAACGAAAACATTCAGACAATCTTTGAGCCCCTTCAATTAAACCTAATCTTCGTTGATTATATCGAAGTAAAATATTTGTATATTTAACAGATTCGTTATAAAGTAATTCTTTTCCTTCGGGAGACAAGCCTTTAGCATCTTAAAAAATTATAGTTTATTTAAATAAAATTAAAAAAAAATTTCGAATAGCGGGTGATAGGAGGTTGTTGTCTAAGCGATCTTAGATGATCATTTAAGTAAAATATAAGCTGGCGATTAATCATTATTACAAAGTCATAACACTGTACTTTTAAGGATGTACCTGATTTCGTAAAAATAATAGCTATTAACAAAGCTAATTCAACGTTTGTTAATACAGCACGTTTAAAATGGGCAACAGATTTTGTAAGTGTAAGTTCTGTCCATTTAAGTATTCTAAAAAAAAATATTTTTAATTTCTTTTCAGTCAAAAATTTTTTGAAAATTATTTAAGGATTTTCTTAATAAAAATTTATTTACTTATCATCATGCAAAAATTGCTTCTTAAAACCAAGAGCAGGCATAACATTATCTTTACGAGTCCAAGTTTCAGAGCCTAATTCCCAAGCTAGGTAGGCGCCTGTAAATGAGGTAAACAAATGACAAATCTGCCTTAGATGTGCAATCTGTTATAAAAAATAAGCTTTAAAACTCGACAACTTATCGCGGACTTTCGAATAATATAAAATTCATTTATATTATCAAGCACAAAAAAGTTATAGTTGATTAAATTTGTCTGGCATTCAGTTTGCGGTATTAGGAGAGTAGAGGGATTAAAGGATATCGATGATCGGTGGCCTTAAATCTCATGATATCTAACAAATACCATATCCCTCTAATAACCCCGATTTCAATTTTCACGCCGCAGGCGAGATTTTGTAAGGCCAAGCATGTTCGGTTAACCGTCCATAAACAACCCTAGTAAAAAATAATTAAATATAAAACACCTGATCAGATAAAGTCAATTTCTCAAAAACAGGCATAGATTTAGCTATACCAACACACAAAAGTCTGTCAACTAAAAAATATTTGTGACAACGTTTGTTAATCATTCCTTCATTTTGAAATGAAGCTTCCCAACTTTTTAATTCATCTAAAGGTATTGGACTTGGATTTGGCTATAAATGGGATTGCTTTTTATTAAAAATTAAATTAAAATTTACCGAAAAATTGCCATATAAACGAAAAATATTAAAATCAGATGAAATTATTTCTTCAAACAAAATCGGGCCATGTAGAAATATATCATCCAAATCATTAAATGCATGCATAATACGTTTTTTAGCTTCAATGATTGGTAAAAGTGAGTTTATTAAGTTCCGGTCTTTGATGGTTATGTCGACAGTTGGGGAATTTAGTATCTTAAAAATAGAGAGAATTTTAATTCTTGTTTTGTTGGTATAAAAATGCCCTATTCCTTCGGGTATTCAACATATTTCAGGAAGTATAGAAGGATTAATATTAGTTTTATAAATCTCCATAGATTTCGATAATTTGAACTTTTTCAATATTCGATTTTCAAAGATTTTTTTCAACTCTAGTCTGCAGTAACAGTGTTTTAAATTCCTGTATAAAATAAATAAATTTACGTTAATTTCATTTTTTGTTTTTCCATCGCTTCCCGGCATATATCTTTACGTAAATATCCAACATCTAAAATTTTTAATTAAAGAGTTTTTTTTAAGTATTAGAAATAATTTTGTCAAGGATTAAAAAAGTGAATTCTTTTGCATACAGAATCTAAAATTCTCAAAATTTTCTCTTGTGACTCCAAAATGGAAAATTCCTGATCAATTTGAATCAGAAATTTCTATATAGTATCGGTTGTTTCCTTTGTATATATCCCTTTTGTATATACATCAGTTGAGTCCCATGAGGGTATATAAATGGATTAGAAGTGATTAAGAGAGTAATGGAGATTTGTAGGGAAATCGGGAGATTTTTGGGATTAACGTGATTAGGTTATTAATTTATCAGTAAGTTGGAGGGATATCGACGGCTATAAGCGGATTGGTTAACGGTAACCAATAAACCGATCAGCTGGGGTTTCTAGGAGACAGTTTTTTACCCGTATTTTGACAAACCCAATTTTTTCATTCCAACAGAAAAACATTTTTCAAGTCTACATTTTTTACATTTTGACAAATCTTGTTCGGATTTTTCGTCTTTATTCTCTTCTGAACATTTACATAAATTATATTTCCATTGATTTTCGTTTTCAAGATAACGTCTTTTGAAAAGAATTTTTTGGAAAAATTCCGTCATATCTCCCATACTCCGATTTGAGTAAAAAATATGACGCTCGAAAGAGCTCGACGAGTAGAGTGAATGACACTAAAATCAGCTAGATTGGAGGATTCTGAACAAGGTTATGAAAATATTTTGATTTTCAGGCGACTTATCTCGGCACATATGTAGATGAATCCGAAAGCTCCTGAAGCCGTTTTTTGTGTCATTCGACTCATTTCGAAGAGCTCTTTCGAATATAATATTGTTTGTCCAACTTGAATTATAAAATTTCTTTGCATTTTTAAAATAAATTGGTATTTTTTCGGGGTCACTTTAGTACGTGGGTCCCGGAGTTAATAAACAAATGTTATACCATTCGAAAGAGCTAGTCGAGCTGTGTCGAATGCCACCAGTTTTAGCCCGAGGAAAAATTTTTGGACCGAGATATAGGTCCCTGAAATTTGAAAAAGCATTTTTACTAAACATTCTTTTATATATATACAGGGTGCGCCATAAGTAACCGGACACTTTTAAATTCCTTATAACTTTTTTTGTTGTCAATATTTTTAATTGATTTTAGGCTTATTTTTTAGCTCATTCAATTCTCTATTATGGCTAGTCAACGTGATTCTATAATCTCACTTTTTTTACAAAAAAATTCAGTCCGCAAAATTTCATCTCTTTTGAATGCCCCATATAGCACTGTACAATACACAATCAGAAAATTCTGGTGAAAATTTTTTGGGAGAAAAATTTTTTTTAATTAATTTGATAATCATGGCACAACTAAGAACTTACAAAAAAGTAAAAGACCTCGTTCCGTAAACACTTCCAAGAATATTAAAATGATCAAAAACTGGGTGCACCTCAATTATCGACCCTCCGTAAGAAAAGTGGCTCGTGACACCGGAATAAGTGAGAGGACCGTCAGACGAATAGCTAAAAATAAACTAGGGTTAATACCCTACAAAATCCAAAAAGCACAACTGCTAACAAAAAAAACCAAAAAAGTTAGACTTGCAAGATACAAACTACTCCTACAGTGGCACGCATGTCCGGACATTCTTTTAACAGACAAAAAAATTTTTACAATAAAATCCGTTCACTACCATCAAAATGATAGAATTAGGACTACAGAATCTCCTCTTTCCGATAAGCTTATCACACATTCCAAACATCCCCAATCTGTCAAGGTTTGGGCCGGTATTTGTGCGTCAGGAAAAAAACCCCTTATTTTCGTGGATTTTGGTGTAAAAGTCAACAAAGACTATTACTTGCTAGAATTTTTTTAGCGTGTTCTGAAGCCTCGGTTCAAGAGCCATTTCGGTCGCAGAGTCTGGATTTTCCAACAGGACTCTGCTCCGGCACACAAGGCGAAAGAAGTTCAGGACTGGTGCAAGGCCAATTTTCCTGGGTTCATTAGCGTTCAGTAATGGCCGTCCTACTCCCCGAATCTAAACCCGATGGATAATTCTTTTTGGTCTATTTTGGAGTCCAGGGCCTGTGCTATGCCTCATAAAAGTTTGGAGTTTCTGCGTCACTCTCTCACCCGAGGGTGGGACTTAATTACACTCAAGGAGGTGCGTGCTATTTGCGAAAATTTTTCTTCGCGCCTTCGCCTCTGTATCAAAGCCAAGGGTGTGCATCTCGAATTTTCTTGATTATTATTGTTCCTTATTTAATTCTCTATCATCTGATTGTATTTCGATTTTATTTGATTGTGTTTTAATAAAGTTATGAGAGAAAACAAGTGTCCGGTTACTTATGGCGCACCCTGTAGGTCCCTGAAAATTATAGGTCCCTGAAAATTGAAAAAGCATTTTTACTAAACATTCTTTTAGACCTTTTAGTTATTTAATTATTTCATATTAGTTAACTTTAGTTATCTTAAAGATTTTTACAATTTTGCATACAAAAAGATTTTTTGGTAAAAGATATATATTTGCAGTGGAAAAGATATCAAGCGAAATTCCGTCTATTTAGAGATGGAGAACGGAAAAGAAACCTTGTCGGTTGTAAAAAATACATATTTTATTTATAAATATTTGTGTTTAATCAGTTTTTTCCAAAAATTTTTCAATAAAGTTTGGGCATTTGAAGTAATGTACACTCTGCGAATAATATTTAACTTGATGAGAGGTCATTAACCGCCCAGTATATTCATTTTCAATACTTCGATTAATTAAACGAAAACATTCAGACAATCTTTGAGCCCCTTCAATTAAACCTAATCTTCGTTGATTATATCGAAGTAAAATATTTGTATATTTAACAGATTCGTTATAAAGTAATTCTTTTCCTTCGGGAGACAAGCCTTTAGCATCTTAAAAAATTATAGTTTATTTAAATAAAATTAAAAAAAAATTTCGAATAGCGGGTGATAGGAGGTTGTTGTCTAAGCGATCTTAGATGATCATTTAAGTAAAATATAAGCTGGCGATTAATCATTATTACAAAGTCATAACACTGTACTTTTAAGGATGTACCTGATTTCGTAAAAATAATAGCTATTAACAAAGCTAATTCAACGTTTGTTAATACAGCACGTTTAAAATGGGCAACAGATTTTGTAAGTGTAAGTTCTGTCCATTTAAGTATTCTAAAAAAAAATATTTTTAATTTCTTTTCAGTCAAAAATTTTTTTAAAATTATTTAAGGATTTTCTTAATAAAAATTTATTTACTTATCATCATGCAAAAATTGCTTCTTAAAACCAAGAGCAGGCATAACATTATCTTTACGAGTCCAAGTTTCAGAGCCTAATTCCCAAGCTAGGTAGGCGCCTGTAAATGAGGTAAACAAATGACAAATCTGCCTTAGATGTGCAATCTGTTATAAAAAATAAGCTTTAAAACTCGACAACTTATCGCGGACTTTCGAATAATATAAAATTCATTTATATTATCAAGCACAAAAAAGTTATAGTTGATTAAATTTGTCTGGCATTCAGTTTGCGGTATTAGGAGAGTAGAGGGATTAAAGGATATCGATGATCGGTGGCCTTAAATCTCATGATATCTAACAAATACCATATCCCTCTAATAACCCCGATTTCAATTTTCACGCCGCAGGCGAGATTTTGTAAGGCCAAGCATGTTCGGTTAACCGTCCATAACAACCCTAGTAAAAAATAACTAAATATAAAACACCTGATCAGATAAAGTCAATTTTTCAAAAACAGGCATAGATTTAGCTATACCAACACACAAAAGTCTGTCAACTAAAAAATATTTGTGACAACGTTTGTTAATCATTCCTTCATTTTGAAATGAAGCTTCCCAACTTTTTAATTCATCAAATGATATTGGACCTGGATTTGGCTTTAAATGGGATTGCTTTTTATTAAAAATTAAATTAAAATTTACCGAAAAATTGCCATATAAACGAAAAATATTAAAATCAGATGAAATTATTTCTTCAAACAAAATCGGGCCATGTAGAAATATATCATCCAAATCATTAAATGCATGCATAATACGTTTTTTGGCTTCAATAATTGGTAAAAGTGAATTTATTAGGTTCTGATCTTTGATGGTTATGTCGACAGTTGGGGAATTTTTTATCTTAAAAATAGAGAGAAATTTAATTCTTGTTTTGTTGTATAAAAATGCCCTATTCCTTCGGGTATTCAACATATTTAAGGAGGTATGGAAGGATTAATATTAGTTTTATAAATCTCCATAGATTTCGATAATTTGAACTTTTTCAATATTCGATTTTCAAAGATTTTTTTCAAGCTAGTCTGCAGTAACAGTATTTTAGAATTCCTGTATAAAATAAATAAATTTACGTTAATTTCATTTTTTGTTTTTCCATCGCTTCCCGGCATATATCTTTACGTAAATATCCAACATCTAAAATTTTTAATTAAAGAGTTTTTTTTAAGTATTAGAAATAATTTTGTCAAGGATTAAAAAAGTGAATTCTTTTGCATACAGAATCTAAAATTCTCAAAATTTTCTCTTGTGACTCCAAAATGGAAAATTCCTGATCAATTTGAATCAGAAATTTCTATATAGTATCGGTTGTTTCCTTTGTATATATCCCTTTTGTATATACATCAGTTGAGTCCCATGAGGGTATATAAATGGATTAGAAGTGATTAAGAGAGTAATGGAGATTTGTAGGGAAATCGGGAGATTTTTGGGATTAACGTGATTAGGTTATTAATTTATCAGTAAGTTGGAGGGATATCGACGGCTATAAGCGGATTGGTTAACGGTAACCAATAAACCGATCAGCTGGGGTTTCTAGGAGACAGTTTTTTACCCGTATTTTGACAAACCCAATTTTTTCATTCCAACAGAAAAACATTTTTCAAGTCTACATTTTTTACATTTTGACAAATCTTGTTCGGATTTTTCGTCTTTATTCTCTTCTGAACATTTACATAAATTATATTTCCATTGATTTTCGTTTTCAAGATAACGTCTTTTGAAAAGAATTTTTTGGAAAAATTCCGTCATATCTCCCATACTCCGATTTGAGTAAAAAATATGACGCTCGAAAGAGCTCGACGAGTAGAGTGAATGACACTAAAATCAGCTAGATTGGAGGATTCTGAACAAGGTTATGAAAATATTTTGATTTTCAGGCGACTTATCTCGGCACATATGTAGATGAATCCGAAAGCTCCTGAAGCCGTTTTTTGTGTCATTCGACTCATTTCGAAGAGCTCTTTCGAATATAATATTGTTTGTCCAACTTGAATTATAAAATTTCTTTGCATTTTTAAAATAAATTGGTATTTTTTCGGGGTCACTTTAGTACGTGGGTCCCGGAGTTAATAAACAAATGTTATACCATTCGAAAGAGCTAGTCGAGCTGTGTCGAATGCCACCAGTTTTAGCCCGAGGAAAAATTTTTGGACCGAGATATAGGTCCCTGAAATTTGAAAAAGCATTTTTACTAAACATTCTTTTATATATATACAGGGTGCGCCATAAGTAACCGGACACTTTTAAATTCCTTATAACTTTTTTTGTTGTCAATATTTTTAATTGATTTTAGGCTTATTTTTTAGCTCATTCAATTCTCTATTATGGCTAGTCAACGTGATTCTATAATCTCACTTTTTTTACAAAAAAATTCAGTCCGCAAAATTTCATCTCTTTTGAATGCCCCATATAGCACTGTACAATACACAATCAGAAAATTCTGGTGAAAATTTTTTGGGAGAAAAATTTTTTTTAATTAATTTGATAATCATGGCACAACTAAGAACTTACAAAAAAGTAAAAGACCTCGTTCCGTAAACACTTCCAAGAATATTAAAATGATCAAAAACTGGGTGCACCTCAATTATCGACCCTCCGTAAGAAAAGTGGCTCGTGACACCGGAATAAGTGAGAGGACCGTCAGACGAATAGCTAAAAATAAACTAGGGTTAATACCCTACAAAATCCAAAAAGCACAACTGCTAACAAAAAAAACCAAAAAAGTTAGACTTGCAAGATACAAACTACTCCTACAGTGGCACGCATGTCCGGACATTCTTTTAACAGACAAAAAAATTTTTACAATAAAATCCGTTCACTACCATCAAAATGATAGAATTAGGACTACAGAATCTCCTCTTTCCGATAAGCTTATCACACATTCCAAACATCCCCAATCTGTCAAGGTTTGGGCCGGTATTTGTGCGTCAGGAAAAAAACCCCTTATTTTCGTGGATTTTGGTGTAAAAGTCAACAAAGACTATTACTTGCTAGAATTTTTTTAGCGTGTTCTGAAGCCTCGGTTCAAGAGCCATTTCGGTCGCAGAGTCTGGATTTTCCAACAGGACTCTGCTCCGGCACACAAGGCGAAAGAAGTTCAGGACTGGTGCAAGGCCAATTTTCCTGGGTTCATTAGCGTTCAGTAATGGCCGTCCTACTCCCCGAATCTAAACCCGATGGATAATTCTTTTTGGTCTATTTTGGAGTCCAGGGCCTGTGCTATGCCTCATAAAAGTTTGGAGTTTCTGCGTCACTCTCTCACCCGAGGGTGGGACTTAATTACACTCAAGGAGGTGCGTGCTATTTGCGAAAATTTTTCTTCGCGCCTTCGCCTCTGTATCAAAGCCAAGGGTGTGCATCTCGAATTTTCTTGATTATTATTGTTCCTTATTTAATTCTCTATCATCTGATTGTATTTCGATTTTATTTGATTGTGTTTTAATAAAGTTATGAGAGAAAACAAGTGTCCGGTTACTTATGGCGCACCCTGTAGGTCCCTGAAAATTATAGGTCCCTGAAAATTGAAAAAGCATTTTTACTAAACATTCTTTTAGACCTTTTAGTTATTTAATTATTTCATATTAGTTAACTTTAGTTATCTTAAAGATTTTTACAATTTTGCATACAAAAAGATTTTTTGGTAAAAGATATATATTTGCAGTGGAAAAGATATCAAGCGAAATTCCGTCTATTTAGAGATGGAGAACGGAAAAGAAACCTTGTCGGTTGTAAAAAATACATATTTTATTTATAAATATTTGTGTTTAATCAGTTTTTTCCAAAAATTTTTCAATAAAGTTTGGGCATTTGAAGTAATGTACACTCTGCGAATAATATTTAACTTGATGAGAGGTCATTAACCGCCCAGTATATTCATTTTCAATACTTCGATTAATTAAACGAAAACATTCAGACAATCTTTGAGCCCCTTCAATTAAACCTAATCTTCGTTGATTATATCGAAGTAAAATATTTGTATATTTAACAGATTCGTTATAAAGTAATTCTTTTCCTTCGGGAGACAAGCCTTTAGCATCTTAAAAAATTATAGTTTATTTAAATAAAATTAAAAAAAAATTTCGAATAGCGGGTGATAGGAGGTTGTTGTCTAAGCGATCTTAGATGATCATTTAAGTAAAATATAAGCTGGCGATTAATCATTATTACAAAGTCATAACACTGTACTTTTAAGGATGTACCTGATTTCGTAAAAATAATAGCTATTAACAAAGCTAATTCAACGTTTGTTAATACAGCACGTTTAAAATGGGCAACAGATTTTGTAAGTGTAAGTTCTGTCCATTTAAGTATTCTAAAAAAAAATATTTTTAATTTCTTTTCAGTCAAAAATTTTTTGAAAATTATTTAAGGATTTTCTTAATAAAAATTTATTTACTTATCATCATGCAAAAATTGCTTCTTAAAACCAAGAGCAGGCATAACATTATCTTTACGAGTCCAAGTTTCAGAGCCTAATTCCCAAGCTAGGTAGGCGCCTGTAAATGAGGTAAACAAATGACAAATCTGCCTTAGATGTGCAATCTGTTATAAAAAATAAGCTTTAAAACTCGACAACTTATCGCGGACTTTCGAATAATATAAAATTCATTTATATTATCAAGCACAAAAAAGTTATAGTTGATTAAATTTGTCTGGCATTCAGTTTGCGGTATTAGGAGAGTAGAGGGATTAAAGGATATCGATGATCGGTGGCCTTAAATCTCATGATATCTAACAAATACCATATCCCTCTAATAACCCCGATTTCAATTTTCACGCCGCAGGCGAGATTTTGTAAGGCCAAGCATGTTCGGTTAACCGTCCATAACAACCCTAGTAAAAAATAACTAAATATAAAACACCTGATCAGATAAAGTCAATTTTTCAAAAACAGGCATAGATTTAGCTATACCAACACACAAAAGTCTGTCAACTAAAAAATATTTGTGACAACGTTTGTTAATCATTCCTTCATTTTGAAATGAAGCTTCCCAACTTTTTAATTCATCAAATGATATTGGACCTGGATTTGGCTTTAAATGGGATTGCTTTTTATTAAAAATTAAATTAAAATTTACCGAAAAATTGCCATATAAACGAAAAATATTAAAATCAGATGAAATTATTTCTTCAAACAAAATCGGGCCATGTAGAAATATATCATCCAAATCATTAAATGCATGCATAATACGTTTTTTGGCTTCAATAATTGGTAAAAGTGAATTTATTAGGTTCTGATCTTTGATGGTTATGTCGACAGTTGGGGAATTTTTTATCTTAAAAATAGAGAGAAATTTAATTCTTGTTTTGTTGTATAAAAATGCCCTATTCCTTCGGGTATTCAACATATTTAAGGAGGTATGGAAGGATTAATATTAGTTTTATAAATCTCCATAGATTTCGATAATTTGAACTTTTTCAATATTCGATTTTCAAAGATTTTTTTCAAGCTAGTCTGCAGTAACAGTATTTTAGAATTCCTGTATAAAATAAATAAATTTACTTTAATTTCACTTTTTTGTTTTTCCATCGCTTCC